CTATTGCAAAAGTCTCTTGCAAAAAAAAAAATGCAGTCAAACCACATGTGCAGACAGTAGCAGGTGTCCACTTGGAGCAAGGTGGGAGAGCTAGTAGCAGGGCAAGCACCACTCTCTGTCCCGTAATTATATGTCCTCCTAGAATCAGCACTGAGCCCAGCTGGGAATGGGTCCCCCCCAAGACCCTAGAGGGGCCCAGACATCATGTGTGACCATGTCCTGCTATCTGCACTCCTGCTCATCTTCCTAGCTGTTGGAGCTGAGGCCTTCTGCATCTGCACTTTCAGAACCCAGTGGCTGGTGTTGGCCCGGGTGGCCAGGGGCATACAATGGACCCCTTGATTTGGGTAGGTTCACTGCTGTACCCCTAAGAACCAGGACTGAAAGCTTCCAGTCCTGTCTGGGCAGTGAGGCTTAGCTGCCAGAACCTATTCCCTATGAATTAATGGCATAAGTGTTCAAAAATAATAAAAAAGAAAATCTGGACTGTTTTTAAAAAGGGAGGGGGGCAGCAGGTGGTGTGGAGGTTAAGGCAGCAGGATCCCATATGGCCAACTGTGTGGTTCAAGTCCTGGATCCAGTAGCTTAAAAATCATGTAGGGCGCATGTGCATGCATGCCCAAAATTCCAGGAATGGAGAAGGGATTGTAGTGTGGCCATCTCCCCTGCAGGGTGGTTTCTCACTTTCCCTCTCTCTCCCTGTGTGTCTCTCTCAGGCAAGTGCACTTGCCCTATAGCAAAAAATTAAAAAAATTTTAAAAAGTAGGAGTGCTCAGCAGTTGGTGTGGTGGTTAAGGCATTGGACTCTCACGTGGCTGACTGCAGTTCGTGTCAGACCTGGTGGCTTGACAGTCATGCCAGGTGCATGTGCACGCGTACCTAAAATCTGAGGAGAATGGAGAAGGGATTGTCATCGTGGCCATCCCCCCAAGGGGGTGATTTCTCACTTTCACTCTCATTGTCTCTCTCTGGCAAGCACATTTGCCTTATGGCAAGACCCTAGATTGAGAGAAAGAAATCAGGTGCATTTGTGTGTGACCCAAATCCTGGTAGGATGGAGAAACAGAAAAGGGACTGAGGCATAATCATGCCCCATTGGAGGTGCTTTCCCCCTCCCCCGCTTTCTCTTTGTCTCTGGTGAGTGCACATGCCCTCTGGCAATTAAAATGAAAGTTCTAGAGAAAAATGCTAGAAAGACTGTGCTTGCATGAAATGGGGGGAGACAACTGGGGCCCCCCAGGCCACTGGTGGCAGGCCCCTCCCTGAGCACCAATTCTGATGTCAGCATTTGCAGGCCATAACCAGTGATGTGCAGTCACTGCTCTGCACCTGTTCACCCCACCTAGTCACAGAAGACACAGGTCCTGGATTACTGTATGTACGACAGGGATAACCTCTGCCCAGGAGCCATCTGTGGCCCAGTTCACTTTGCCCCCCATCCCCCCAGAGGGCAGGAGGGGAGCAGGAAGAGGAGTCTGGCTGGCTCCATGGTGGGGGGGTGGTCAATGAAGGAGGCAGGGGAAAAAGTGCTGGGAGAGGGTGGCAGCCCTTGGTCCTCAGTTCTTGCAGTCCTTCCCAGCCTGACATTGGTCCCACTGCACATCACTCCTGTGGCCGTACAGGAGCTGAACAGCTTGTACAATGTGTTCCTGAAAGTCTCCCAGCACTGGTGGAGCAAGGGAGGAACAGACAATTTGCGTGGGGGAAGGTGGGGGCAGGAAGGCAAGTGGTTAGGCCCAGCTGTCCCACCATCTCTAGGATGTGATCTTGCTGAAGGCCTCAATGCAGACAGTGCTCCACTGACCAAAAAGCACCTGGACAAGTTGGTGCTGTGGACTGAGGCCACCTGACAGGGACACCATGGTGTGGGTCAGCACCCTCTGTACCTACAACCACACCATGCTGCACAGCGGGTATTACCAGGGCCTGCTACAGGCACCACTGCCTTCCTTGTTCCCAGGAGCCTCCAGCTCACTGATCAAGAATGGAGTGTTGGGGCATAAGGAAGGAGGGCAGGAGCTGGGACACAGGAAGGCCCTAAGCCCCAGGGACGAATGCTTTGCCCCACTGCTTATCCCAGGCCTCACTGTCGATGACCGCTACCCCGTGGAGGTAGTATTGAACTAGGAAGTACACAGTGCCTGGTTCCTCTGCTGTTGTTCATACTGCCACCACTCCTGCCCCCTCAGCTAGGCTCACCAACCTGAGGCCCCACTCCCTAGGGCCATCAGCCCACAGATATGCGGACACTGCCTTTAGGCAAGTCCCAGCCTTCCCAGTCCAGTCCACCTTGGGGTGAAGAGGCTCTTGAGGGATTCCTACTACAGCTCTCCTCCATCTGCCCTTAGTAGGGCTTATGCCCGGAGGCTGGACCCAATGTCACCCAACTCAGATAGTTTTAGGAACAAGAGGCAAAGCAGGCTCAGGGCTGGCGAGGTGAAGGAAGGACTCAGGAGGCATCTCCACTAAACTGTAGGCTCAGAGTAGGAAATCACAGATCAGAAGACAGCATTCTATGACATAAAGGAAACATGCTTGCACACCAGGAGCAAGAAGCCAGACTAGAGGAATGACACGCCAGTAGGGTACCTCTACTGTGCATGGGGCTCATGTAAATGAGCAGGAAAACATTCAGACCCTGGTAGATACAAGGATGGAGAGAACACAATGCACACACTAGCGAACAAAAGGAAATGATTAAGCTCATTGCTGTCCAGTGACAGAATCACTTGGAAAATAGCTCAGATGTCTGCAGGCAACCCTGCTTCACCAGCCAGGGGTGCCATCAGCCCACATTGGTCTATGAGCCTATGCCAGGGCTGCTTACCAAGGCAACAAGTGTACACAGAAAATATCTGCACCACAGTCACCGCACCACCAGTATGGCTACTGCATGAGTAGTCACCCAGGGAAAGGGACTACAGGACAGGGTGAACAGCAAAAGGCAAGCACTGAGCTTGCTCAGGGTGTTGGTATCATGGCACTCCTTCCCTGCCCTCCATTTGCCAAGGAAGGGGGTTCAGTGAAAACACCTATGGGGGGACAACTGGTGGCATGGTGGTTAAGGGAGCTGGACCCACATGGCCAACTGTGCAGTTCAAATTCAGATCTTGCAGCTTGAAAAACATGTGTGCACAATTCCAGAAGGAAGTATTGAGGAATGCCCCTCCCCCCCAGGTGCTTTCTCAAGGTCTCCAAGGAGTGTGCCCTACAGTAAAACTAAAAAGAGAAAAAAAAAGAAACCATCACCTATTGGGACAGTTATCAGGGCCATTTAAGTGTTTCATCAAAAACAAAACAAAAAAAGGCACCTATTGTGAGCTATCAGGGCCATTTAAGGGTAAGCTACAATGAATTTAAAAAGTCAAAAGGCAATGAAGATTATGAAAGAGCCAGGGGCCACAGGTCAAGGAGGTTAACAAGTGTCTTGAGAAGGCAGGTCATGTTAGGGCAGCTCTGGAACCAGGTCCCTGGAGTTCCTTCAGTCCCTTGGAGGCCCAAAGGTGCAGCTCTCTGGCCTGTTCAAGCTGCTCTCACACCTGGGATCCTTAAGTCAAGAGCACCAGGACACAGAACTCCCAGGGTTGATGCCAGCTGGGATACAGAAGGCGGAAGGACCCTGGGAACACAGGCTTCAAAAGGGCTGACCAGTGAGGACCAGGGTAGTAGGTCAAGGTTGAATACTGGGAAACAGGATCAGGATCCTGAACACCAGAACTCCTAGCAGTACATGGACAACCCTGGGTGTGTTTAAACCATATGGCTGGGACCATGCCTTGCTTGATGTAGTTCTACCCATTCCGTTGGGCTGGGGCTGGCCTTTCTCCATCACCATGGAGTTTGTTTGGGAAGCAAGCAACACCAATAGAGGCCTAGGCTAGTGAGGGACATGCGGCCTCCGGTTCTCTCCCCACCTCAGGCCTATTATGCTTTCCAATCTACTACTGATGCAAACTCCCTTCCCTGTAGGCTTTGTCCTCATTAGCCTTGCTTCCTGCTCAATAATCTTTAATTTTAAAATAATTTAATTTTATTTGTCCTTTTTTTTGAGTTGACCAGAGACAGGGAGAAGGAAAGTGAGAAAGCAAGCTGCTAGGTTTGGGATTCGAACTGGTCAGCTTATGAAAGTCCAGCTGCCTTAACTACTGTGCCACCTGCTGATCCCTGCTCAATAATCAATAATCTTTGAGGTTTTTTTTTTGCTACGGGGCACGTGTGCTGGCCAGAAAGAAACAGAAAGCGAGAAATCACCGCCCAAAGGGGATGGCTACACTGCAATCCATTCTCCTCTTGGGATCTTGTGCATGCATGCACCCAGCATGAGGTTAAGCCACTGGATCTGGGACTAGAACCGTGGTCAACTACATGAGAGTCCAGCAACATAGCCATTATGTCAACTGCTGGTCTCCATCTGTTCAATAATTGTAAGGGCAGTGATTCCATGGTTCCCATAGGGCTCCCCACTGCCCCAAGAATCCAGATACAGATGTAGGATATCAGAAGATTTATTGATAACTGTGATTAAGGAAGGGGCAGCACAGTATGAACCCTCAGGAGTGCAAAGCTCGCCACTTGTCTAGGGGACCACGATTGGGGATGTATTTGACACCACAGCCATCGGGGATGAGGCGCTTCTCAGCCACCATATCTTCAAATTCATCAGCATTAAACTTGGTAAAGCCCCACTTCTTTGAGATGTGGATCTAGAGAGATAGGAAGAACTCAATCAGGAAACCTGGGGCAAGGTGGGTGGTGGGGGGAGGGCAAAGGAGTTACAACTCTGCTTACCTTCTGTCGACCAGGGAACTTGAACTTGGCCCTGCGGAGGGCCTCAATCACATGCTCCTTGTTCTGCAGCTTGGTACGGATGGACATAATAACCTGGCCAATGTGGACCCTGGCTACTGTGCCCTGGGGCTTCCCAAAGGCACCCCTCATACCTGTCTGGAGCCTAGATTGGAAACAGCACAAGGTCAGAAACAGAAACATCCACTGGGAAGGGCTGTCTCCAAGGTCCCTTAGATCAACCCGTACAAACAACAGGCTGTATACACTACCCAGGAGGCTGCTGTTTGCAGCCACTGCACTCCGGGCCCCCATGAGTTAAAGGGGCACAGTCGGCTTAATTGGCTGCAGAGGAGCCCCTGCTAAGCAATGAGATGTGCAAGGTGCCTATGGGCCCATCCGACAGCTCCCACCCACCCACCTGCTGGCCAACTATTGTAGTCAGGTTCAGAGCAAGAGGAATTACTCATGTCAGAAGTGCCTCCCTCCACCTGTGGCCCAGAGGGTGGAAGATTTCTCGCTTGATGAAAACAGGTGAAGATGACTCAAAGCTGCAGCTCACCTGTCAGCACCAGCACAGGACAACATCTTGTTGATGCGGATGACGTGGAAAGGGTGGAGCCGCACTCGGATATGAAAGCCATCTTTGCCACAACTTTTCACCATGTACTTGTTTGCACAAATACGGGCAGCCTCCAAGGCTGGGGGGGAGATGGCAGAATGAGATGATGTAGTACAGAAACACCTTGGTCCTCCCTCCCAGCTCTCTGGGGACAGGTGTGGGCTGGGAGAGTTGTAAAAAGGCTCATGCTTAATGAATGTTAATTCCAGTGCAGCACGTCTGGTCCAGGCTTGGGCTGAGGACGCACACAAGAAAGACTGGGAAGACGGTGTTTAAGAATCTGGCCTCACCCTCCGACGAGAGCTGCTCATATTCATCTGACACCATGTGGCCACAGAGTGGGAATTCATCCACTTTTGCCTTCTTCCGCCCCAGGTCAAAGATGCGGATCTTGGCATCTGAAAAAGGCTCAGTTAGGTGTGTGTGTGTGGGGGGGGGTGAGGGGGAAGGAGGGCAGGTCACCCCATGGGCCCCTGGGTAGGCGAGGCCAGAATCAGTTTTTTGGTAAATCCCTCTACCGCTACTTACCTGGGACACCTCGGCAGAAGCGCGACTTTGGGTACGGCTTGTTCTTACAGTACCGGTAACTGTGGGGGGAAGGGGAAACCCAGGTTTACAAAGAGAACTTGGTCACACCGAGTGCCTCCTTAAGGAATCAGACGGCTGGGAAGATGGAACCTCTAAAGCCATATATGATCTAACAGGTGGCAAAGGACACCCAAGCCAAAAACCAAGAACCAATGCTTCCCCTCCAAGATTCAAACTTCCTGTAAATCCAGTATTGTTAAATAAACAAAGTCTCTTTCCAGGGTCTCTGAGCACTACGTGCTTGAGTTCGTCAAAGCAGTTGTGCCTCAGACCACCCAACTGAAGACTATCGGACACGTGGCTCCTCGCCGGATTGAGCCGAATGAATGGTGCCCGGCGCCCCCTGCAGGGCAGCTGGGCCCGCTTTTCCTAGACTGCCCTTGGCATCCGGCAAGCTTGAACAGCACGTCGCCCGGAAACAAGACAGGGATTGGGGATTGCGCACAAAGGCTGTAGAGGATAAGGAGCCAGAAAACATGGCTAATTTTCAAGGGACAAGGAGGGAAAGCAAGGTGGGCGTATCTTCCAGGCCGACCCTGGACGAGCACAAGCCTATGTGCTCAACCTGACATTTCTAAAACGAAAAGGGGCAAGCAGTGCAGAGTTTGGAAAGAAAATCGAGCTTAAAAATAAAAGGTCTGAGAAAACACACTAGGTCCTATCTCAGGACAAGACAGCAACAAGAGGATGGCTACCCGAGGTTGTTTCCAGCGGCCGAAGGCAGTTCTCTCTCCCTTCCTTTCCCCAAAAAGAAATTGCAAAGATTCAGCACTCACCACCGGGCGGGGCGGCGGCCCATGGCTGACACCAAGATCTTCGGTGGCTGCAACGAAAAAGACAACATAAGAACAGAAAACGAGAACGCTTCAAAGCACAGGGGAGAAAAGGCAAGGGCACGAGGCAAGCAACAGCCATTCTTACCGCGCCGGAGGCAAAGAGGTGCTCACACGCCTGCGCTTGTCTTATATAGGTGGCCTATCTTCGCGCGTACGAACCATAGAGTCCCGGCGAGGGCGGATGGACGCTCTGTCAGACGTTCAGACCATAGACTGGGCGGCTGTTTACGCCTGCGCACAGCCAGTGCCTCACACATGCGCAGAGCAAAGAGGTGGGTGGGCCACAGTGCTGTGGACGGCCGGCTGGCGAATGAAGCTTCGCCACATAGGCACAAAAATCCGCTTCCGGCAGGCCATTTTTGCGCGTGTAACTATTAGACTTTGCGGTAACTATGAGAGACGTATATTCCAAGAGGTGAAAAGAGGAAAGCACCCCTTAATGGCGCTCGAAGCGACCGTGCGGGCGTTCCCGAGCTTACGGAGCTCCGCACATGCGCTCTGCGCCGCCCTCCGGGTTCCCGGCTGGGCGAGAGGAAGCGCCATACTGGGGTCGCAACCCCAGTTCCTTTGTCAACCTAAAAGCCAGAGCGGGAGGCCCGCCCCTCGAAACCCCTCCCCTGGCCGAAAAGTCAGCGGCAGGCCTTGCGTTGAACCAGGCGCCTTGTCCCCGTTTCTTGGAGACCCAGGGTCTTAGTTTTACGCGGGCAAGGGAGCGAGAAGCCCTCATGGCGGCCCACGGCCAGGAGACACTGGGCACCCTTGGACCTGACTCGGCAGTGGTAGAAAACTGGTGCCTCCCTCCGTGACACTGAAGAACTGCGGAAGGGGCTGGGGTGGCGACCGCAGCCGGCCGGCGCGGGTGCCCGCCCGGTCAAGCCCTGGCCTGGGCGATCCCTGGCCCTGCCCCTGGGAGCTTCTACCCCCGCTGGTCCTGCGTGGAGCGGACCCTCCTTCGCACTCCTGGTGCCCAGGAAGGGCCTCAGGGTGGCTGTGGCAGAGCACCTCGCCTTGGGACACACACCGCACACCCACAGGGCGGTGTCCAGGGAGAGGCCGGTGGAGCTGGCACGGGAAGTGGGGGTGGCCCGGGCAGCTGCTCATGTCTCTGGAGGTGGAGACGCACCGACATAATAAATTCCTGCCCATGTTACTTGTCAGGCTTGATCCGCCAGGGAGGGAGTGCGGCTCCAACAAACACCTGTACCTGAGAATGACATGTCAGTCTGATAAATGGCTGATCTCTTGGGGAAGGCTTAGAAAGGTTTGTGGTGTGCGTTTTCAGAAATGGTGAGGGGTCCTTCCCAGGGAGACCCACCCTTCACCTCCCATCACTGGGCTCTGGGTCCATGCTCTGACTTACGTCTGGAAACTGGGTGAGGCTGTGAATTCACTGGGGTAACTCACAATACTTACTTGGCTTCCAGGCCTACAGCATTTCTATAGTACTAAGCAGTACTATAGTAGGTGACCCCTCTGTTTGATCTCCAGGAACCCTGTGATCAGTCAGCCATTACCTAAGATCTTTGTGCAGCAAGACATTCTGATTTCCTGTATGTCCTTGCTGATCTTTACAGTAGATGCAGCCACCTTGTTTGGCGCAGAGGAAAGCTGCATAATCTTATGTCTCTGCTAACCCAGAGATTTATCATCCCCATGAAAATCAGGGAGACCATCTCAGAGGTGCCATCATAGATAGTCATACATGGCTTAAAGAAGACAACACACCACAGAGCTTTGTTTTTAGAAACAGGCTTTTATTTTTTTCGCCATAGGATATGTGTGCTGGGACAGAGAAGAGTGAGAAATCAGATACCAATGAGGATGGCCACACCACAATCCTTACTCTTCCAGTCTCCTGGGAACTTGGGCGACACACATGTACGCCCATGATTTTTTTCTTTTTTCAGAGATTTCTGCATTATGGTGTGTGTGCTCACCAGAGAGACAGAAAACAAGAAATCACCCCCAAGGGAGGATGGCCATGCTGCATTCCACCCTCTTCCATTCTCCTCTCAGGATTTTGGGCACACGCGCACACACCATGTGGTTTTTTTTTTCCTTTTTTTTTGAGAGGCTTTATTTTTTTGCTATAGGGTGCGTGCGCTCGCCAGACAGACAGAGAGAGACAGAGAGACAGAAAGCAAGAAATCACCCCCCAGGGGGGATGGCCACGCCGCAATCCCTTCTCCTCCACTCTCCTCTCCAGATCTTGGGCGCACATGCACATGCACCTGGCGTGAGTTTTAAGCCACTGGGTCTGGGACTCGAACTGCAGTCGACTACATGGGAGGCCAGCGACATAGCCATTACGCTGCTGGTCCCTCTCTTTCTTTCCGCTGCTGTTCCCTCTCTTTCTTTCTTTCTGACTCTGTGTCTATCCAGTGAGCTCACGTGCCCCATAGCAAAAACTAAAAACAGAAAAGGAACCTAATTAACCCAGAAAAAGGATGGAAAGGAGAAGCAAAAAGGAACAAAAGGGAGACAAAATAGAAAACATGAACTAAGATGCCGGTAAGGTGTGATCATGGTGTGTCGGGATAGCATGTGCATGAGCCAAAGACAATGTCGTTAATCTGCGGGGGCTTCAGCAAGTTCACAGAAGAATGAACTTAGAGTGTGAGTTTATTTTGGTGTTAAAAACAAAAACAAAAACAAAAAAACAAAAACCCAAAATAACCTGGAGCCAGCAGGTGGCATAGTGGTGGTTAAGGTGCAGGATTCCCACAGGGTCGACCGCAGTTGAAGTCCCAGGCACGACAGCTTGAAACTCATGCCGGACATGTGTGCATGCATGCCCAAAATCCTGAGAGGAAAATGGAGAAGGGATTGCTGCATGGACATTCCCCCCCCCCCGGGAGGGGGGGATTTCTCACTTTCTGTCTAGCTCTCTGGTGAGCACCCTAAAGTAAAAATCTCTCAAAAAGACAAAAACAATCTTCAAATCCACATACGGTTTTTCCTCACGATTCGTACTTTGACCAGCAGTTGGTGTAATGGCTATGTCACTGGACTCCCATGTAGTCGACCGCGGTTCGCGTCCTGGACCAAGTGGCTTAAACTCACGCTGGGCACGTGGCCGGGCGTGCCCAAGATCCCAAGAGGAGTATGGAGAAGGGACTGCGGCGTGGCCATCCCCCCAGGGGGGGTGATTTCTCGCTTTCTGTCTCACTGTCTCTCTCTGTCTGGCGAGCACAGGCACCCTATAGCAAAAAAAAAATCTCTTCAAAA